GCTCGTACCTGGTCGGGGAAGGAATCAAACACGGTTCGGACACTCTCTGTGCTCCCAAATTTGGACGCTTTGAAGCGGCGTATGATGTCCTGGAGGGTGGCAGCCACGACGAAGTACTCCTGCTTCAGCCGCAGCTCCTTCCCCTCGAAGAACTGTGAGCAGAGGAGCAGGACACTGCGGGATTGCACCGCGCTGCCCAGGCACGCCTGCGCTGGAGGAGCTGCACGGCACGAGCCCCCAGTGCTTCCACCAGCGCCGGTGTTGGCAGCAGCTCTAACCCCAACATCTTCTCGCTTTCCAGATTTCAGCACGGGGGTTTGAGATGTGCTGGTACAAACAGAGGTTAAATCCCCCCCACCCCGAGCACCGTCAAAACCTGTTCTCCCTGGTTGGAAAATTTCGGCTGCAAGGAAAGTTACTGGGGCAATGGGAAGGGAAGCCACAGGGGCTGTAACACCTAGGAGCTATTTCTAAGACAAGAATTAAAACCATCGTTCACACAGCCCAAAACATCAACACGCTGGTCTGCGAGAGAGGATCTGCGGGAGGCAACCTCAGCACCGGCGCCGTGGTGTCCCCGGCTCTCCTCACCAGCTGGGAACGCCGGGGTAGGATTATACAGGGAAAAAAAAAAAACATCAGGGCCTGCCCAAACAGGCTGCAGAGCAGGAAGAGCAGCTCTTCGCCTTCTTTCCCGACTCCGCAACTCGTTCTGTGCCCGGGGAAGGGCTGTACATCCCATCGTGCCTTCGTGCAGCACGGCAAGAACACCCCGCAGCGAGAGGTTGGGATGCAAAGGGGAATTTGAAGCACAATCTCTGGTCCTGGGCTGCAAGGGAAGGTCAGGAAAATGCCAGCGGCGTTCATCAGTTTTCCCTCATGTTGTATTTTGAGACTCGAGGAACATTTTTGCAGCAGGACGTGCTCATCCCCACTCCCTTTACCGTGCTGAGCACAGATTTGCCTGGGAACGCGCTTGTCTGCTGCAGCCCCGAGCAGCGCTGGTGAGAGGCAGCAATCCCCATCCAAGCACTACAGACGGCTTGAAACGCAACTAAAAGATCTCTGCAACGTCCCGGCGAGAGGGGCTGCTCCGCAATCTTTAGCCATCCCTAAAACGGGGACACCCCTCCATCCCCAACTTACGTTGTCGTTGGGGTAGAGGACGCGGGATATGTTCTCCGCCAGGTTTCTGTCCAGCACGGCCTGGATGTAGTCTCCGACGTTGACTGGGGAGGAGCAGAGGGGTAAGGTGGGTGCAGGACCCCCCTGCGCCCTGTCCCGCTCGGCACCCCACCAGCACCCACTTACAGTCTCGCAGGTTGAAGTCGTTGGGCGCCCGAGCCGACCACAGGCGCATGGTGTTGACGGTGTTGTTCATGTACCCGGGCACGGGTGTATCGTAGGGCAGCGCCAGCACCACCTAGGACATCGGCAGGGCAGCCGGAGCCGGGCTGTGCCCCCGGTTGGTGTCCCCCCATGTCCCCCCGGCCCTGCCAGAGCCCTCCCGTCCCACAGACCCTTCCGCAGGAGTGAGCTCAGGGTGGCATCCACCTTCACAGGGTTGCATGCATAGAATCATCGAATCATAGAACCGTTTAGATTGGAGAAGACCTTTAAGATCATCCAGTCCAACCATTAACCTAACACTGCCAACTCCAACACTAAACCAGTTAAGGGGAGAGTCATACTTTCATGTTTCCTGGCTTGGTGGCTGGATTATTTTTAATGAAAGTAAAAACTAGGAGTCACTAAGGTTGGAAAGGATCTCTAAGATCATCAGTCCAATCATCAGCCCAACACCACAATGCCCACTAAACCATGTCCCTAACCACCACATCTACATGTCTTTTAAGTACCTCCAGGGATGGTGACACAACCACTTCCCTGGGCAGCATGTTCCAATGCTTGACCACTCTGAAAGAAATTTCTCCTAATATCCAATCTAAACCTCCCCTGACGCAGCTTGAGGCCATTTCCTCTGGTCCTCTCGCTTGTCACTTGGGAGAAGAGACCGACTCCCCTCCCCACCCCCTCCAGTCAGGCAGTTATGGGGATGTGCTTGGTACCCCCAGCCCCTGCCCTGGGGACACCCCGGCTCTCCCAGCTCTGCCCGGCAGCTGGTATTTGCCAGAAGCGCTCAGGGGATGGAGAGAGGCTTGTGGGGGGCCAGGA